CCTGGAAGCCTGCGCCGCGCGGGGCGGGCGGGGCGGGCGGCCCGGCCCGGACGCGCCCCTTCCTGTGTTTCCGTGGCTCCGTTTTCTATGCAACCCCACACCCTTTCTTGTTTTGATCCTGGGAACTAAAGGGAGGCTGAATTATTCACATTTAAATGAGGTTTCCCCTTCACGGAGGCGCCGCTGACCCTGCGTGCAAAAATGGGGAGCGCCGGCGTTCGCAGGTGGGCGCCGGCCGGAGGACCCTGGGGAGCCCCGGTGCCCGGCGCGGGCGCTGCGGGCGCGGCCCGCGTAGCTGAGTTAGTGAACGTTCCACGTCCCGCGCGGGGCCTCGGGCCGGGCGAGGGCCGCGCTCCGGAGCGGACGGTAGAGACTTGTAGCCCAGCGTGAAAAATTTACAAATAAATTTTTCATTGGTCTTTTTGTATTAAAAACAGTTCGCTCATTCTTGGTCTCGGCAAACGTCGAAACCCCCTTCGGAGACCCTCTTCTGCTGCCGGCGCTCCCTGCACCGGGCTGGGCTCCTGGCCTGTTCCGCGGCCGCATCCAAGTTGGCCACGGACAGGACTGTGGGAAACCGGGGGACCGGGTCGGCCCGCGGGGGGCCCCCTCTGGTGGGAAGACCTGCGGGAGCCCTTCCCGCGTCCCAGCCCCGGAGGGAACTGGCCCCGCTCCCCTCGCCCGTGCGCCCCTCCCCGACTGCAGTCCTGGGGCTGAGGTCGGGAACTTCACAGTGCTCACTCCGAACAGGAAAAACCCTGCAGGCAAGGCAGAGCCCCTGACCCGGGGAAACAAGCTCAGGGCCCCGCCTGAGTGAGGCTCTGAGTCTACTCCAGGACCCCTTTTCTGGGGCGGGGGTTTGCCGGGCACTTCCTGCACTAGGGATTGGCGAGGAGATCCGAGGAGGCAGGCAAGCTGAGCCGCCTCAGGCAGTGAGGCCACCGCTCCTGCGCAGCCCCGGGCCGCTGCTGTCAGGCCTGCCCGGCCCTGCCACTGCCCAGCTGAAGAGGGCTGCGTACTATGCCAGAGACAAGGCCGGTGCCCACCGCCCATCCTGAGCAGACCAGCTGGAGGCTGCCAGCCGGGTGTCACAGGAGCTGGCACAAGATCTGGGACGTGTCTGTGACCACGGAACTGACCAGCAGACATCACCTTTCTCTGCTGACCACTGCCAGGAGGTGACAGGGCTCAGGAAGAAGCCATTTACCAAGGGGGGG